CTCTGCTCCTATTTTGTATTGTTTAATGGACTTTTGAGCTCGAATACTGTTCGTTATCTCCACATATTTCATTTAAATTTTGATTTACATTATGTCATTGTAGCGGGTATTCCCGGCAATGATGGAAACACAGTTGTTGTAACTTTTAAATTATTCTTTTATTATGGTGACATGGTTGATGATAGATAAATGGATAATAGATAATACGGAATTTATGGAATTTATGGAAAATGGATATGTCCTGCAATATACAAATTGCGTCATAAAAATATGTACAAACAATATATCAATTATCTAATATTCTGATCATAAAAATATAACAAATTATCTGTCTTCCCTTTTACAATTAATTATCATATTTATCTATTTCACTCGATATGATAAAATAGAGAAATTCTATATAAGGGAGTTAACTCTTACAACATAATTACTCTTAACAGTCTTGTGAAGAGTTATCTTTCTTTTATGTTTCTGTACAAATCATAAAAATATATATACAGATAGACATACCAATTTATGGAATTGAACTTTCTCCAATTTCAATTATTTATATGGTTTACTTATGGTGTTACCTATGTACAATAAATAAAATAATCAGGATTTGTTCTTTACAAATACCTTTCTCATAACCAATATATATTTAAATTAGTTTGATTACCAAAATATTCACATCAAAATATTTCTAGGTACATATACAAATTAATTAATAAGAAAACTCCATCAGATTTATCTACATCTGATTATACAGACAGATAATTCAATATGTTAACATTTAAAAGTGAAATATTCTGTTTTTCACCTATTTCTCATAAATTATGGAAAACATATCTTAAGGCATAAAAAAAGATAAAAACTTACATTTTTAGGAACTGTCTTAGGTCTTTGAATAAAGTAAGTTAGCAGCAATATAACTATGTCTTCTCCATTCTAAATCTTGAGCTAATTCTGAATAAAACTCAGTACCCCACAAAGACCAAATTTACAACCAATGAAATCTAACCATTTCAAAATCTGACCAATAGATGTGTGTGTGGTCATGTAAAAGTATATGTACAGGTGTGGATCCAAAGGGGTGTATATCTATGTCACTAAATACCCATGTTATAGTAAAGAATGAACAGAATGAAACTTTAATAGAAAACTTATCATTTATGCATTTATAACATATTTAATAGTTTATTTAGTTTATTTAATTTATATCTAATATTTATTTTATTTAAAATCATTTCAACTTTTATTATTTTTAATAAAAGTACCTCTACTACATCATGTTTGTATCAACATTCAAGTTCAAAGTGAACATTAACATTTGAAGATCTTTGTGTTGTAAATCATTGTGTTGTAATTAATAAATTCATTTTATTTCTAGCTATTATTGATTGAAATGATAATAAAATATAAATACTAGATTAAATTATTGCTTTGACATCATTGAGCCCGTATTTATTAATAGCTTGATGATTACTGAGTGAGTGTCGCTTATTGATTGATTGCTGATGAAATGAAATATATGGAAATAACGAACAGTATTCAAGCTCAAAAGTCCATACTTATGTTCAAATAACTGTATCTCACTTCCATTCTCATGATCGTGTAGTGTGGGACAGCGCCGCAAGAATTTCATCGGCATCAAAATCAAGTTTTTTGACTTGTCTAGATGGCCAAGAGGTCTAGCACGCTGTTCTTGTACTGCTAGGAGACATATTCCGTAGGTCGAGAGTTCAACCCCGGGTTGGGGCGGAAATGGGTATTCTTGTAAAAGTGATATATATATATATATATATATATATATATATATATATATATATATATATATATATATATATATATATATATATATATATATATATATCTTTGCCAGGAAGAATGGCATTAAGTCAAAGATTTTACAACGCAACCCTAGGCAATGAGAAATCTTACCATTGAGTAAAAGTTATTTCGGGTATTAGATATCTGTGGGCCTTGTGATTGGTGTGTATTTTTAGTACAACTTTCTTGATATACAAAGGCCAAACTATCATTGCATAACATTGTGCCTATTTATCCTTTGGGTTTTACAATGTGAACTAAAAATGATTTTAAAATCATTTATTATTTTGAAATTTAGAGTTAATGCTTTGAAACCTTGAATAAAAATGCATGTTAATAAAAATTATTACTGCATAATACTAATAATATGAAAAATATATATCATTTAACAGGATGAATTGAAAAAGAAAATGACAAGTTAGATAAGTTTCTTTTTAAGGAGGAATGCTACTTACACCGAAATTTTATTAACCGATCTTTAAGACTTCTCTTCTGAAAATTAGTTTCTGCATGGAAAGATGTTATCTTTGAATTAATTTATTTTTGTATTCTGTAGGAGAAAATGTTAAAAAAAAAAATGTTAATTTTTAAGCCTGATGGATTTTTTTAATATATATTTTCTCTAAAAAATACATACAAATAAAATGATAAAGAGCTTTTTTCATCTTTCAATCCTGTAAGCCTGTTTTAAAGAGATGTTTTAAAGATTCATTGAATAAATTTTGATGTAGTATTCCTCCTAAAATACATTTTAGTGTAGGTATAGTTAGGTCACATAGGAAAACTTTACCTGTACCCCTTAGAGGACCCCTTAATTAGATGTTTGTGTTGGCGAGTAAAACTTCGAGGAACACGCCATTGATTCACTATTCACTTAATGTAAATCATTATACGTATTGATGATTTTTCTCGTGTAAAACATGTAATTAGCAAAGCCACAAAAGAAACTGCCACTCATTGTTATTCGATTTCACCGACATTTATACTTCAGAACCACAAATAGTGCAGGTTTCTGCCTATACAGAAAGCACTACATTATAAGAGGGACTTTTCACCCAACCCCCTCTCCACGACATCTGCTTAGTCGAATTTTATAGTGTGATAAGTACTTTCAATTAATTTAAATTATTGTATATCCCTTCGGCCTTGGTGGATATTCAACTTGTTATGTTTCTAAATCGTTGTATAAACCCCAAACAGCAATAATTGTAAAATATTTCCTACTTATTGGCTTAGAATATTAAACATTAAAAGAACAACTAGTAATGAATAATACACGTTTGGTAATTTTATTGGTTGTTATAACATGTATAATCTACTACTTTTAGATTCTATGTCTACCTTCCCCTCTTATTCGAAATTGTCGGCTTCTGCATGAGAATAACGCGGTGCATTTATGTCCTTGGGCTATTCTTCCAATTATTTACTTCCGTTACGTAATTTGGTTTTTTTTTCAAATGGCATAAAGTAATTTCCTGACTGAGGCATTTTGAAATTTATATTTACAATTTTATTTCACATATAAATGTAAATATAAGGAATCACTGTTTAGTTTATTGGGTATGCCAGGAACACCAACGACAGTTGGAAACGTGGGATAATTTACATGCAAATTATCCCACGTTTCCAACTATCGTTGATGCCCTGGCAAACCCAACAAACTACACAGTCATTCCTTAAATCATTCATTTGATACTATAGATTGTGAAATAAATGCATTAAAACTATAAAATAATTCAATTTTTTTATGCTCCAGATTTCGAAGATGGAAGAATGGAATGTGGAAATAACGAACAGCAATGAAGCTTAAAAATCCATTGAAACAATACAAATCGGAAGCAGAGCAGATACAAACCGCTAAAACCATCAGAGGTGGGATCAGGTACCATAGCCGAGTAAGCATACCCTGTCGACAGGTCACACTCGCCGTGTGTTCATTGTCATGATCGGACAAACAGAAAAAATCACTAGACAATTCATTGTTTAAATAATGACCTAACAATTAATATTTTAGAATATTAATTTTAATCCGTATGTATGCACGGTTTGAAACTTTGACGTGGCTCATAACAAGTAAACAATACGGATACATCAAAACATGACACAAAAATGGATGTGTCATGACTGACTCTGAGCCAAGTTTATGGGGGTGTCTTCCAACTTAACCAACATTCTGAAAAAATAAAGATTAATCTTTATTGGCTATCTAAGACTACGGTGCAGGTGGAGAACAAAAGAATTTAATTATAGATAGGCTATAGTCTGTTTCAGTATCATAGACACATGTAAAAAATAATTCTATATTTAATAGCATTCTTTTGACACAGGGTTTGTGATTTATAGGTACGATATTAATTAGTATATGATGTTTTCAATATTTTATTATATGTCATGTTTCTGTTCTAGTATTCTTTTTCACAATTTTAAAATTTAGTATATTGTTAATTTATTCATTGACTATCATGTATAAATAACTATCCTTTTTGTCTTTTACTGGCCTTTTTCAGCTATTTATATATTTATATCACAATTTGTCTATTCATTTCATTTTTGTTTATATTTTGTAAATAAATTATCTGAAATTATAAAGTGCAGCTGTTCAAAATAGAACAATATGAATAAAATGTACATGATACAATATATGTCATAAATCAATTCCATGATTTTATTCTACACCAGCAACAATGACTGATCCGTTTCGTTGTTCTCAAAAATAAGAAAAAGTACATTCATACCGAAGATCTTTTCAGACGCATTTAATCAGGATTTCTTTTCTACAAATAATATTTTGTATGACTGTCGACAATATAATTCAGTGGAAGCTAATTCTAGAGGAATGGCAAAGCATGAAAACTTTAGAATTGTGCTTACATTCTGATAAAAATATAAAATAAAAGGATGAAATTCTTGTAATAATTGCATGCTTTGAAAGGGATAAGGACTATTTAAAAATTAGTCTATGTATGTACACAACATAAATTAGTCAGAAAATGAATGCTTGTTCAAAGATGGATTAGTCTATGCTTGAATTAAATACATATAAAATGTAAATAATAAGTAATACAATGTCTATCATAAATCCACTCCGTGATTCTTTTCTTCACCAAGCCACTAAGCAATTAGTTTACATCACAGTTAGTCAGACTGCTTACTGCTTTTGGTTTCGATTGGATTTTCCGAAAAATAAGAAAAAAACATATTCATACAGAAGGTCTTTTTCGGAGGCATTTGTTCAAGATTCCTTTTCTACAAATAATATTTGGTAAGACTTTATAGAGATTTTAATTCAATAGAAGCTAATTCGAAAGGAATGGTAAAGCTTGAAAACTGTATAGAGTTGTTTACATAGTGATACCATTATAAACCATGCAAAGATATGCCCTAAACCATTTAAAAATCTTGCATATAAATAAACATTTCTTTGACACACCAATGAAACATGTCAGTGGTAGCCAAGAGTTGATATGTATTTTTGCACTATTGCTGTTATAAATGTTTGTAAAATGAAAACATGTACATGCTTCTGTAATCTCATGTTACACCTGAGCTGCTAATTCACGGAAATCGATAAAAGCCATGAAAAAAGCAGAACGCTGAGGTGCACGTAGCAGAATCTTCTATCGCACATCAAAACACAGTTGCATCTCCGAGTAACGCAGATGAGTCGCCTAGAATGCAATGGCACGCACTTTGCGCTGAAGCGTTCTGATTAACAGGCAGAAGAAACTCCGTAGGGTTACCCTAACAGCGCGGTAAGTCATCCAACAGTGGCACAGGAACTCCAGTGACGCGTTCAAGTGACACACAAGATCGAAATTAGACATAATGGTAGTCAACGCTGCTTGCACAAAGACCTCTCGGAGTCCTATGGGATGTCACAGTGTACAAACGAATTTTTTGTGCTAGCTGTCAGCGCGTTGTGCACGCAGTGAACGCTAATTGACAACTCATAGGACGTCATAAATACTCAGCGGAACGTTAGTTACTATTCCAGTTGCAAACCGCGTGAGCTGCATATAGAAACGCCTCGGTCGTTGTCAGGAAGCTGCGACTTCATCTTTTGAAAATTGCAAATAAAAAAGCATAATTTTTCTGACTTCCAATGGCGATCCCAGAAATTTAACACACCGTGGCAACTATTTCGGAACGCAGCCCTGGTTTGACAGGGGCTTTAACTGTTATTTAAAGACCATGTACATGTAGATGATTTCTATGGAACGCCATGGCTGCCTTATGTTTGATGATTTTGTTATATCTTGTGGGTCTATTATTATATGTTGTGGGTTCATAATTGTATGCTGTGGTTTCATAATTGTATGCTGTGGGTTTATAATTATATGCTGTTGGTATATTTTTATATGTTGTGGTTTCATAATTATATTCTGTTGGTTTATTAAATATTATTTTGATGATTAGAAACAAGCTATTCGAATCCGGATTTTATCCATTTCCAGTTCATCTGGCTGTTTGTCTTTTTGTCTGTAAACTTTTCACATTTTCTACTTCTTCTGCAGAACCACTGGATCAATTTCAACATCACAAATCTTGCGCATTATATATTCATTATACATTAAAGATTCAAGTTTGTTCAAGCCATGGTCACAGGCAAGTATCTGAATTAGGTTAAATATGTTGTTTTCTTTGAACAGCACCCTCCACCCCACCCCCACCCTCGGGGCAAAAAGATCTACAGGAAGGGCCCCTTTTCCTTTAAAATCACTAATTATCTAAAATCTGTCAAGAGATCCCCACCTTCTCAAATCATATATTTTCTTGTTCCAAGGTTATGTCAAAACAAGTTCTATTGTACATGTGATGTGGGCCCCTGGGGTCAAGGTTGAATGCTCCTTATATATTGTTTAAGATCTTAAAAACTGTTGAGATTCCCACCCCCAAGTCGTCTATTTTCATGTACCCATAAGAAGTGCCCCTGGGGTCAAACCTGACCCTGACCAGTCATATGTAATCTTGTATCTTGAAAATTATAAAGATTCCCACCCTCGGACCATATATTTTCTTGTACCTTTTGTCACAACAAGCTTGATGGTACATATGAGGAGGGTCTCTGGGGTCAAGCCTGACCCTTTAATATATTTTCTAATATATTGAAATTAATTGAGATTCCATAATTCAATACCATACATTTTCTATTTCGTTTTCATAAATATTATGCATACATATTGGAAATTTCACAAATGTTAACACTTGTCTCTACCCTTTTCTAATATTTCTTAGTAGAACAAGAAGCTGAAGCGAGCGATGTGTCCCATTGGTCCTCTTGTTCAATCTTTTACAAATATACATGTTGTCTTTTATTATGAATCCTTAACATGAAAAACATTAATTCATTTTTAAGATAAAAGGTGAACTATGTTTTATTCCAATAAAACTTTTTTATTTATCCATACTTCCAGACAAAAGAGAAAATGTGTTTTTTTTTTTTTCTAAATGTTTGATTATTTTTTTAATTCAATAAAAACAAATTGATAAAAAATAATGTAAACTTATTTTCCAGTTTTATTTACTATATATATCAACTGTAGCAAATAGATTAGGTTCTTAAGCTCTACGATTAATTGTTGATGTTTTAATACCTTTTAGTTCCTCAAATAAATAACAAAAGATATTGTTTTCAACATTTTGTGCATGTTACGGAAAATGTCTAGGCAATGTAATACAAAATGAGATTATTAGGTTCACACAACATTGTGTAGATAGTCCTGGCTTAATTTATAGCGATTTTGTCCAAAAGCAAAAGTCGGGTAAAAAAATTAAACAGTATATGTGTTTATTATACTTTCATGTTAAATACTAAAATCTGATTGGTTTAGAAGCATTTAACAATCCGTAATGTTACCCTCAGCGTTAGCAACAGACTTGACAACGGGTAACATTTCGAAAATGTCACATGCGTTCAAAATCATGCGCGTACGGTTCACCGTAGAATTCTGAAACGTCAGTTGTGCGTTTGAAAGAAGCCGAATAAACGACGTCAATAAAAGCTTGCGTCCGATGTAGCTTACTTGAAAACATCAAACCACAGACGAAACATCCTTGGGAGTGCAAACTTTAGATGATAAAGGACTTTTTGAGTAGCAAACAAACAATAAAGAGGTTGGTAAATCTTTTCCGAAGCTTTCTTATTGATAAAATAGAAGCGGGGTGTTTGAAAGCTTTCTAAGCGTGAACTTAACGACGATCTCCGGTTTTTTTTCATGACATCCGAAATCAATAAGACATTCAGTATAATAAAATAAATAGTGCACGTTTTTGAGGATAACAGTTGAAATTGACATCCCTCGGAAAACCATTGTCAACCTCCGCTGACGCGTCGGTTGACAATGGTTTTCCTTGGGGTTTCAATTTCAACTGTTACCCTCAAAAACGTGCAGTATTTATATAATAACGTTAAACAATCGTAGTTATGTTTTAACATCTAGTAAATGTACATGTATATCTCTTAACTGTCACAGTTTCCAAGTGTACCTTTCAACAATATCCAAACATCTTTGAAAAATCATCTATTCCAACACTTTGACCATCCCTGTAAAATTCCTGGTTTAAAGCATTTTGGGATTCTTGACAGATTATTGTGGAAAGGGATTCAAATATTGGTCTGCCTTCTTCAACAGTGAATTCATCTACAAATCCCTCAACCCCATAGTTCTGCATATTTTCATGTTCAACCAGACCAACTGAAGTCCATAAAATTAATGGAATAGACTTAACTGTGCGCAATCTATGCCTAGCCCATGCATCACTCCAAAATACAAGCTTTCTGTTGATTTCTGAACAGAATAAATAATGGAGAACAGCTAAATGAATTGGGTTGAGACTGGATACAGAATATAAAGGTTCCCATATGATAAAATAAGTTGTTTGTGTCTCTCACAAACACCATGTGCATCCATTCGATGTATGCTTTCTCTTAGTCTCCATCTAGGAACCCTTATTCCTTTAAAAATTATCATCTGTCTGTAGAGATCTTCTCCATAGAGGGGAAATTTTTTTAAAACTTCCCCGAGTTTTAAATCGAGGTCATTGCCGGATATTTCTGAAAAATTCATTTTACTTAATCCATACTGTGCCATTCTTCTGTAAATACCGGTAGTTCATTTAGATACTGAGAGAAGGTTAAAAAATGTAAGCAATTGTGCATCCGTTTTCAAGGACCTTTCCCAGTACTGTTCTTGGAATATCATACACTGGAGGACCACACTAAGGCCATACCCTTTTCGGCTTTACAGTTCCATACTTAACACATCTGTTTCTCAATCTAACCATATCTCTTGTATTTGAGATCCCCAATGCCTGGAATTCATGTGCAGATATCTGCAGTTATTTTTTTCAGCTCTGAATCTACCAATACCTTTTCAATCAACCTTGAGGAATCTTCCGCCATTTGATTTTAGGGACATTTATAATAACAACCACTGCACTGCATATAATTTAAGTATACCACAGCATACACTGAACCAAACTTCTAAGTGTTCACCTAACATTTTTTAAGTTTTAAAAAACAAATGCATACAATAAATAATTTCTTTAATTCATGGTTAATGATGCATATTTCAGTTCGATGTTGCGTAAATTTCGTGTAAGTATCTTGTCAAGGACATGATGTGCCCTCAAAATGAAATTCACATAAAATAATCTCTAAGGAATAAGACCACCACTCGCTTAAATTACTGCAAGGCATATTCTTTTCTCATGGATACTATGTACCCCTGAATAGGATATTGACCCATCTGCTGCCACACCTACTGTATGGATCTCTCTAAACCGTTGAAATTGTGTGGAGGGGGGGATGCTTTGACATTCCTTACCAAAATCCCAAATGTATTCAATAGGATTCAGATCCGGGAATCTGACAGGAATTTGACAGTGCATCACCACAGATACCTTTTGGTCAATATTCTTGGGCGTTTCGCACGTAAGTGTACCTATTTAAGGATGATTCAGACTGTTTGAGATGATATTAGACTGCCACCAGCACCAATTTCTTATCATTTTCTTACCATTTAAGTCGTTTGTTTTAATGTTTCTAAAATTGTTTCTGGATAATGTAACAAACTTTTAACCTAGTTGTGATGCGAAACGTTGGTCTCAGACGAAGATCCAAATCACTTCCGGTTTGATGAAATTTTGTCCAAAACTTTCAAATTGTGACAAGTTGGCGATGAAAATGACGCAGGACCTATAGAAAAATGTGTTTAAATGGGTTTTTATACTTGTTGTTAATTTTTAAAAGTAATATCAAGGACAAATAAACACTAAAATAAAAGTGAGTAAAACATGGTGCAAGGATGATCCGGATAACAACATTCCAACGGCTCTCCCTCCTTTTTCAATGGTCATTTTGCCAAGGTTTTGTGTTTTTTAGTTAAACCAGTTTTCAAAAATTGAAAATGGTCACAAAAAGATGCTGATCACACAAAACACTTGCCGCAAAGTACAGATTTATTGTTTTTACGCTTCGTCACGGTACATTGGTTTTCATCGGTGATAATTGATTTTCTTTCAACAATTGTTGAGAAGACTCGTTGGTTATAATAATTTGAAAATATCATTTACCATTCTATCTTGTAGGTTTTAAATAAATACTTTTATTAGAGTGAACACTTATAAGTTTTGTTAAGTGTATATTTATTAAACCACAACATATAAAAGACCCACAGGATATTTAAAAAAGACTCATAGCATATAATTATGAGCCCACAGCATATAATAATAGACTCACAGCATATTATTATAAACCCAATGCATATAATAATAGATCCATAGCATATAATTTTGAACCCACATCATATAATTATGAACCCACAGCATATAATAATAGATCCAGAGCATATAATAATAGACCAACAGCATATAATAAAACACATAACATAAAGCAGTCATGGTGTTTCATAAATCTAGATCTCTAAATTATATTAAAACGGTCAACAGGGGATTCGACTCATAGGCACGTGATCCAAACTCTGGAATTTCCAGAGATCCGTATTGTATGCCCTGCTAATAAAGGGGGAGTTTCGATAAGGCCGTTTTTCGGCCCCTCACGAAATTTTATGAAATTTTGATATTTTGTAGAAAAACTCCTTATCTTCCTAAAAATACACTAGACAAAATTGCTAACGCACCACCTAAATAAATTAACATTTTTCTTTTCAAAACTTGTTTACCATGTTTTTGATATATAATTATGTTACTTTAATAAAAAAAAAATGAGACATTTAAATGCTTTAACTGATAAATAACAACAATGTTTACTGAAGCGTAACCACTTCATAGAAAAAAATAAAATCATATCCATACTTTTTTGGTGGAATAAATTTCTAATTTTTCTTTGTGGTTGTGTTCTTTATAGTTGTACTAATTAAAAACTCAGAAAAAAGGTTACACCGTATTCGGCGTTTGACTCTAGAAGAGCGTGCTAAGGCAGCCAGTATGGTGTCTGCAGGGGGTTCCTTTGAAGAAATTTGTGAAAAATTAAAAGAATTAAATGATTATGAATTTCTCTGATGAAAAATTGTTGAAAATGAATTAACGATTATAAAAATAATTACAAAATATATCGACGGCATTAAGTGAGCACCACACAATAATTTCAAGATTGTTCCACAAAATTCGGGCAACCGGAAGTTGGGTGGATTTGGTAGGGAACCAAGGCACTGGATGACTGCTAAGCATCCAAGTTTTAATATGGTAGTCAATCAGGGTATATCATTTGATTTTTAAGTGGGAGACTGCTCCTGTAGCAACGTCACGGACCACCATCGGTAATCACCAACTTCATATCTTGGCAAAAACGGTGCGCAGTACACGTCGGGAAATTGATTTTCGGACAAGAAGATCCTTTAAGGGTCTTGAAATGACACCAAGACATTTGTCAATCCAACTGTTTTGGAAAAGATTGCATATTTTATATACTAGTACCAATCAGGAAAATGATCAATTCACAAATAAGAATAATAAGTGGTGCGTTAGCAATTTTGTCTAGTGTATGACAATAATTTATGTTACGCATTTTCCGGTCACGTGATAATTGAAATTCGAGTATACCGCCTGTCGTATATTTTTGGAGTAGACATTTTTATAGGGGGAAAGTGGATTTGTTTAACCGTCAAAATCGTAAATGAAATAGGATTAATATGAATAAAGACAAAAATTAACCAATTTCAACATTTTTTTTATACGGAAAATGGTAATTCTCTTATGCGAATGTTTTTTAAGGTGCGATATTTTTCTGATGTGTTAAATGTTACTTTTCTTTAAAGGAGGATGAATTTAACATATAAAACGTAAACATATATAGAAAGTTTTAACATCATAATTAATCGACAGTTTATACATAAATTTTATAATCAATATTTAACATTTTCCCTTACGAAAAATGCAAATAAAAGATATGTAGACATGAGATAGGTAAATGTAAAAACGTCATATACAGGTATATGCAATACATTTTCATCAATGAGGTTATACAACTACATGTTTTATGAAAATATACCTTAATATCATAAAATTGAAATTAAATAAAATATTTTGAAATAAAAAGATTAAACAATGAATGCAACTTTAAATACATACACAAATAAATTTTAGTTTATTTAAAAGCATCATATTGCTACGTAAGCTGGTACATTGTACGTGAAAGGTAAGAAAATATTTTATCTGGTGGCCGCCACATAATTATATGGCAGCCGCAAGAAAAATATATCTGGCGGCTGCCAAATAGTTTTCTTGCGGCCACAACATAAATAACTGGCGGCGACCAGAAACTTATCTGGCGACCGCCACATAAATAACTAGAAGCCGACAAATAAGTTTCTTGTGCTGTAGACATGTAATCTAATAAAAAAAATAAATTTAAAGTTATGAGGTGAAGACCTTATGAAGTGAATTTTTGTATAAAGTGTAGATTTGATCTTTAATAATAAGGCTTGAAACTCCCAATTTGACTAAGTTGATGATGTCGTTAAAGGCAGAGATTTTAAGCACCGCCTTCAAAAATACTTGGTCTGTGTACCTCTGTCAATCAAGAGCATTAAGGTATATCATTGGGTGCTACAACTTGATTGGCAAAAACACTACAATTTTATCCTACGGTCGCTAGATATTTCAATGGCAGGCGCTAGAAACTTATCGCGACCGTCAGATAATACATTTTTTTACCTAGCACCTACCGGCTTCAGTATATTGCAATGTATTTGATAATTATGAAATGATTATATAATGATTATGAAACTTAGAAGTATTTGCCCACATAGATAAGCATTATATGTTTTCAGCATAACTGAGAGAATCCCAGCCAGGACTAATTTCCTCTCGCTTCCAAACTCTCCATAGATACTTAAGTTGCTTCACATTGATTTAGAGAGTTTTAGAATTCGTTATTCATGATTTGCTATACCAGAGCGCAGTTCAAAATACATGTGTAAACGCCAAAGATATGTGTTTAATCCTTAATCAGGCAGACATATGCGCCTAGACACCCAGACTTAAAACAACCCACGTTCCCTATATCAACCACACGGAAATATATGGGCACTTCTCTAGCATGTTGGAGCGTGGATTTCTATTTACAAGGAAATACATATTTGTTCAGTCAGTCGGAAAATATAAGAAAGATCCAGCATCGGAACCATGCTTGGTAGTGAGCAATCCTAGATGCATCATCAGTGCAAGTTTGGTCACGATAGGGCTTATAATTATGTAAGACCGATACCCGCTTCAAAATCTTTAACCTGCTCACTCATTAAGGAAATGTAGGTCATATCCAGCATCTGAAGCAATCTAGTACTGTGCATCCGAAGATGCATCATGAAGCAAGTCTGGTCAACAAGTGCTTACAGATGCTCTCTCCGAAAATTTAAACCTGCTTTTAAAACATTTACCTGGACATTGTTTGGCTGAAAATCCAGCATCTGAAACCTGACTGGTGACAAGGAAACACGCTGGATCAGGTGACTCTGATTAATATCTATTAGGGCATACATATATTTGAAAAAAAAATCTTCAAAAACTTTAACCTGGAACACGGATGCCGACGGAATTACAAAAGTTCCCCCAACTTCGAGGAGGTGAGCTAAAAATGTGACGTTAACGTTATACGTTGGCGACAAAAGAGTATCGAAATGAAGATAGGATACGATAATGTTTTCTATTGTTAAAATAATCGAGAATCTTCTTTGATTTAAACAAATATGCTACTTCTGGCTTGGTATTTTAATGCAGAGTCAGATCAAGAAACCAGGAGGTTCTAATTTTAGATATGCAAATTTTATGAATTTTCAATTTTTGGATATGAAGTGCACACGCGACACTCATCATATTTCAAGAAATTAGGTGCAGAGTATATCTAATTACTGAACAAATTTAGGTGAGTGTCCCTCATGCACTTCATATTCTAAACATCGATTTATAAATGCCACCCTCTTACATTTTCCCATAAGCCTTATGTTAACGGATTTGAGGGTACATCTAAGTATGTATCAGCTACGGTGTGAATTCATCTCATATTAACTTTTGAAATAAAAATAACAAAAGTTAACATATTTATCTTGAATTCTAAGCTAGTTTTGAAAAAAGAAATTGAAATTTATTTTTATGAAAAAAGTGGGCCGCTGAGCGGCCTTATCGAAACTCCCCCTTTGTATTGTTTGTAGATTTTTAGGAGGTCAATCAGTGTTCGTTATCTTCATCTTTTCAACCCAGATAAATAATAATGACGTCGATCTTTTTTTTTTTTTTTACAGTACTTCATTTTTGAATTCCAAAGAATTACAGTGTTTATCCGCCATGAAGTTCATTGTTTTAGTGGTGTTGTCCTTCCTTTTCACAGACTTGCAAGCTGTTGAAGGTAATGCTCTTTTAAAGGTTATACACTTATGATTTAACATGATTTAAAAGAACGCCAGCTTGGTGATCGGAAGGTCGTAAGTTCGAATCTCGGCCGCGACTGACCTAAGTCGATAACAAGAATAGATATGGGTTACCCCACATCCAAGATATTCGACTTTTAATTTACTTGAATTTTCACTGCTCAGCTGATCTCTAAGGGAAAAAAAACTGGCTATGAAACTGGTGCATAGTTCGTGTCCGTAGGAAATACTGTCACCACCCTTGCGTCACTAGCAAACTGTGCACATACCTGTGCTTGCAAGACCAAATAGCCTAGGTCTACACTTGTGCGATCAGAAATCTGTGCAGGTGTTGTGTAACCACTCCGTCATTAAACAACAAAAGAAAAACAAATCAAACACACGCACACAATTAATGATTAACATTCTCTTTCAGAAGAAATTGTATGATATTTAACGAACAATAATCATGAAAGTTATATAATTGGTGAAAAATTGTCAATCGAAGAATGATCTATATATTTTCGTGAAAAAGACTGAGTAGGCAGCTAACGTAGGAATACGAATTCATACTTCTTATTTACATTTTTGGGAGATAAGTGATTTTCTTAAAATCATTTTACGGTAATTTTGTTTTCTTTCACGTATTACATATACATCAATATTCTAAACATTTGTCGTAATGTCGGTTCTTCTGATCATGAATATGGAACTATATATTTTCAAAGCAACTGTGTGAAGAGTACCTGACTTTAGTAATATATCTTGAAAAAATAGTATGCACTGATCGAATATATTAAAAATAGGTACATGTAGCAACTGTTCATTCCTTTTCCATGCGCTCGACAATTTGAAGTGAAAGTTGCGGGTCCTTCGGGTAAGACCTTAAAAACCGAGGTCCCGCATCACGGTAGGCGTTGGCACAATTAAGATCCCTCACTGCTCAATGGCCCTGAGTGCCGAATAAAGGTCTAAGTTTCAAGCCCTTCACCAGTACATTTATATGAGTAAAAAATTCTAGAATGGGACGTAAAACAACATACAATCAATCAATCATTAATTACTGTATAGGGGGAAAATAATTCGCGGTGATAATATTCCCTATATTCACGGCATTAATAAATCCCAATCTCCTATGTAGAGTTGTCGTTCGTTCCTCTCTCAGACACCTCTGCAATGGGCTCGCGTCAAGATTTTTGACATAACGTTAAAAACATAACATTTCATGGATTATTTCAAATTAAACTAATAGTTTTAGATCTATTTTGTAAATATCCATCCTTAAGGACTATCATTAGCTTAGACATTTAATTACAATGAATTAAAAGAAACGCACTATTTCTCGTGCTTATCACTGTGGTATACGCGAGCCAAAGACAGAGGTGAATGTATGAGCCGATGGTAGAGAGTGAATAAATCCGTGACTTCAAGAAACAGTGAATAAGTTTTCAATAATCTCCATGTTATATTTGGAAATTTGAGAATAGACTACGATAGGTATATATACGTGCAGTACATGGTCATTTCAGTAATTTCGAGTAGTACTTGTCATTCACTTATTTTAATTATCACGCTTTGCTTTGTAAAAAAGCTGTTTTAATAGCCAACGCTACATGTTTAAACAATAAAAACACGTGGGTCATGGGTTTTAATTACCCGTGCTTAACTATGTTACCACGTGTATTTGTTACCTGCATTATCATGTTTTTATCGAGATTGTGGTTTTAAAAAATAATTCAAATAACTATTGAACTTGCTGAAGAAGTGGAAGGATATTATTTCGTCGACCTACAATAACATATTTCATACCGTCCGGTGGTTTTTCGCCGCGATGTATTATCCCCTCGGAAAGAAGATCTCGGGGTGTACATGCTCTAATCGTAATAGCATATAGGAATTATAGTCAGGGACGTTTAATAACTGCACTTGTTTTTATTAGTCTTCAATTAATTATCAAATCTAACTATTTTATAAAAAGCTATCCTTCGTGAAGTGAATATATAACGCTGATTAATGTCGTTCTAGCTACGCTATGGATTAAACGGATATAGACAAGGGAGGTAACTTTCATTATATGCCGATTCCGCGAATTCAACAAACCGCGATCGTGTCAGAGGAGAGAAAAACGTGAAAATTACAACCCGTGAAATTAATCCCTATACAGTATACTAAAAGAAAATGTTAAATACAGTCTTGAAAAACTATGTCATAATCACTTGTAATGACCTTTATTTTTCATGTAGTGAGATATTGTTTTTATGGGTCCTTCCGTCGTTGTTTAATTGTGTTTGCTTTTGAGCTTTGAATTTTGAATTATTTGGACAACTAGACGTTTGACTATTCTTCAAAGTTCTCATCGACAACGGGTAAAAAGAGAGTTTTTAAAAAAGATATTTAAGAAAAAATATGTTCCTTCTCTAGACCTTAATATAGAGATGTGTTTTCTGACTTATAAGTTGATTTTATTTCTATTTTACCCAAGGAACGTGCCCTTTCCGATGTTTGTTCAACTTCACTTTAAAGACTTTATCCAAGTATTTGTGATATTTCTTAACGCTATGAATCGTAAAATTTTAACCTTCATTTCTTTCAGATACCTTTCACAGCCAGTATTTGTCATGGGTAGCAGAATATAAGAACAGTAAAGTTCCCCCGGTTTATTGTCCAGCCTGTCTTACTAATGCTGAAAGGAAATCCAATGCTAAAATTTTTGCCACATATAGTCAGGATGAAAGGGATGCAGTTGTTCTCGTCAATCTCTATACGCAGGATATGGGAGGGGATTCCTCAAAGCAGATCTACAGAAACCTTAATGCACAACTGCGAGAGGGAAATCCTAAGTCGTTGATTAACAACTTTGCAAATCTTTTAAATAAAGCAATTTCAATACTCTCTTCAAAATCTAAGGTAGACTGTTACAATCGAGTGTTTAGAGGTATGAAATGTTGTGATGAAATAAACACGAACAAAAATATTCATATTTTCCCAGAATTTTTAAGTACAAGCCGCGAAGTAAGCAAAGCTTTTCAATTTGGCTTCTGTGATGGTGTTTGCCAAGTACTCGTTGTCTTTAGAAATGTTCCAGTTAGTCATGGTTTGAGTATTTCTGCATATTCTGCCTTTTTGGAGGAAGACGAAGTTTTGCTGAAAAGTAACACAAGACTACATATTTCCAAAAACTACAATGTAACTGCAACTCCAGGAGACGAACAAAAAATACAAACTGAATTGAAAAACATTAACTTCCCTTTAGACGGAAAAGTAAAGGTTTTCATAGAAGGATATCCTGATGCAGCCGTTAAGGCTAAATGCGCATCAATTTCCTCTGGAACAGTCCTTTCTGCATCATGGGCGTTTCTTGCTATCACATTTTTCCCTGCAAGTTTCATCGGCCAATGAATTACAAATGAATTTTGAATTTTTCGTTTGTGTTCTTACTTAGTAATTTCATATTTTATGTAGAATGTTGCTTTATATCACTGAGGGAGTTAACAAGCAAGAATCTGTTACCCAAAGAACAGATATTCTCCTCGGACTAAGACAAAAGAAATGGACATATCGATACCAATCATGCTAGGCTTCTTCACTGTTTACAGAAAATGTTCGCAATTGCTGTCTGTCAGACCAGGCGAAAGTGTGTTCGATCTGTTTTACTTTGCATTTTGTGTGATATCGAAGGCGGGTGAGATACCATGAACGTAAGGACAGTGGCGAATTAAGTAAATTTAGGTAAAAAGCAAGCATGAATATGATATTCATTATTTAATGATAGATATTCTAGATTATGCAAGTCATGGTTCGTTAGGCAGGAACGGGTCAAAAAGAGGGTCACAGTTTAATATTTAAAAATCGCAGGGAAAAAAAATTACAAAGAATTAAGTCATTCTAGTAAGTAAATACATACCCTCATGTAGTATAGATTCAAGTATCTTCAAAAGTATTGTCCATGGGGCATTAATGAAACATCAAAAAACCATTGTTGATGCTGAATAATTTTAAAAAGGAATAGTTTGTTATGATTGCTGGCGAACTTTGAATATTTAATGACTATAAACGTTGAAATATACATGTATATGAATATTGATGAGACTACTGCTGTATGATGATTTGTGAACTTTGTTGGGGTCTGCACTTTTGTAATGTATACTGGCTCATTCATGTGTTGTTTGTGTGAGATAACAATGATTCTTTTAAAATAAACAAAAATCTTTTCACAGACAATGTTTTTAATTTTCCTTATATTACAGATATATTATGTCTTTCTGTCGACGGAACCAATTTTTTGACAGGTACACCGCCCATTAGTAAAAATATTCATTCTAGACAAAGAAATGGGAAATGCTCTATTACGGTATTTTTACGAAAACACCTTCAAAATGATGAAATGAACGTTTCAGATCATTTGATAGGCCATTTCAGAATTCAAATTAACATGAACATTATTCATCAATTGAATACATTCAATTTAAGAGATCAATTTAATTTTTGAGAATTCATGAGGACATGAACTACGATGCTTCACGCCTGCATATTTCATAAAGCGCTTTAGCGCTTCATGATAAATATGCAGGCGTGAAGCATTGTAGTTCATGTACCTCATGAATTCTCAAAAATGAATTCATATCTTATATTAACATTATTTTTTCTGATGACTTGCTACATTTTTTTTATTATTCTACGATCGTTCTTGAAAAAAAAAGTTTGCTCTACTTTTTGACTTCAATCACATCACAATGGAAATATTCTTACTCATCCCACGGTAGTTCATGAGAACATGAACTTTTTCTAATTTGCAAACAAATCTTGAGGAAAAATATTTGTAAATGTAAATATATCTTTATGACCTTAACTGTAAACCATTGGAAACGATCCGTGCATCATTGAGATGTTGCAGTATCATCAGGAATTGACATGATCTAAAGCTGCGCAAAGAAGTTCATGTGGAATTGTGATAGCATTAAAGAAGACATATCACGAATGAACATTCAGCTCAGGTACCCTAACTGATGTTTTGACTCATTGATCATTTAACAAAGTTCTTTTTTTATCAATCAGGTCGCTTGTAAATAATGCATATTAAGGAGGCTGAGTGGTCAACAAATTACCAAACACAATTCCACATAAAAATAAGAAATATAATTTTTCTAGCCGTACAATTTTATTTAGTAATGGAAAAAAACTTACATGTTTCTAGCTAAATTATTTAATGCAATTTTATATGACTATCCACCCCTTCAAAATGAAATTGATGTCACATATAACGAGATAATCACCTGTGGATCTTTTTGGTGGTAATTATATAATAACCATTTAGGTCTTCCTCTTTCATCAGGACAAACAGAAATTTCACCCTGTATATAATTTCCCCTGTTTATGAAGGAGCAAAAAAGACAAAACAACAGATTATATCGCGAAAAATTTTTTACTCAAATTGAGGTAAAAATTTTTAAAATTAAAAAACATGTAAAATACATACATGTAAAATACAAAAAAATATATGATTACATAATGAACTATTACTAAAAAGACAAAAAACATGTAAAACACCTTTAAAGGTGCTTGGACACAGATTTGACGTTAATATTTTCTGAAATTTTCTGTATAATTTCATGACTTGTATGTTGCTATAGCATTTCATACTAAAATAAAATGAAAATCTTATTTCATCTCGAAGTCATTGAAACTTCAAATTTCTGGACGCGTTTGATTGACACATCCTTGCACTTTCACAAATTTTAATTTTATTCTTAATACTTAAGAAAAGTGGCAATTTTGTTGTGTATTAATGAAAAATATTAGAACTATAATCCAGAAAATTCAGAGTAGAAATGTTCGAAAGCAAAACCCACTCACAGTATTGTCAGTCCGTGCTCAGTGGTGTGTGCAGACTTTAACAATTGAACACACCCGGTGAATCGTATACATTAACAATAACAGAGCTCGTGCCCTGTGTACAAAAACAGTTTACGTTTCACGGGTGTATTCAATTTGTTAAACTCTGTACACAACACTGAGCATGGGCTAACGATATTAGTGAGAGGGTTTGCTTTCGCACATTTCTACTCTGAATTTTCTGAATTATAGATGTAATGTTTTTCATTAATACACAACAAAATCGCTTCTTTTCTTAAATATTAAGGAAAAAGATAAAATTTGTGAAAGTGCAATAATGTGTTAATCAAACGCGTCTAGGAATTCGTAGTTCAAATAATTTCTAGATAACATAAGTTTTTAATTATATTTTCGTGCGAAATACTATTGCAATATATAAGTCGTGATATTATACAGAAAATTTGAGAAAATATTAACTTCAAATCTGTGTCTAAGCACCTTTAAAGGTAACAAATACATAATCATCATAATACAAAAATACAAAGTAAGCTTGGCCTTGTAAGGGGTCAACAGCCCACCAGGAAAGAGAACTCTTTCCTACCCCACCGAGGCCAAGCATTGGCTAAATAAACACAAAGATATGAAATATAACACAAAGGAGACTAAAATCACAACCTACAGGCTTGATACCCGTATATACAATAGCTATCCCAATCTGAAAACAAGTGCAAGTGAAAAAAGGGAGTCAATCTAAATGTATAGAAGCCGGCCCAAGCAGACATCTTCTAACATAATCACCTGTGACATAATGTACTTTAAGGATAAGAAACATTTTACATCCAAGTCCAAAAACATCTCTACATTTCAGTGCAGGTGTACTCTATAAATAAAATTATAATCAGTGAAAACACACATGCAATACCGACCCCAGCAGGTATTGTTGACATAAAAGCAAAGCAATTAAGAAATGCACATGTACTCTTTGATACCTGATGACACATTGACCTGGAAACTGAAAAGGCTGTCTGCGAAAAACTTCATATGCAAGGTACCGGCCCAAGCAGGTACCTTTGAGAAAAAGTTCTTGCAGAATATTGTTCTATTAGCCTTTGGGAGATTATTAATGTATCACATATAGATTAGAGTCTTTCATAGATGGACCAATTGAGCTATGAATTAACATTTTATGGCCTTACGTATTTTCGAAATGCATTGGACTTCCAGCGACCTGCTTCTCTTATTCTAGAATCAGACCAGCCTCTCTCTGCTGCTGCTGTGGCAGCCCCAATGCGGAAGCTGTGGCCTTTGTATTTGGAACTATCCAAGTGACAGAAATCGATACATTTGTGTAATATCTTATCAAAATATGATCTAGCAACTGGATGTCCAGTGGTAAAGCAAAACAAAGGTCCTGGTAATTTGGGTCTAAGTTGTAAGAACCTTACTAGCCTTTTGATGGCTGATTCAGAGCACAGGTACTTGTGGACAGGACCCCCCCCCCCCCCCGAATATACCCCACAGGTCAAAAAATATTTTTATGTATTTTTTTCATAAATTATTCTTCTAGTACACATTTACAATGTATTCCATAAGAAAAATCCAAAAAATAACGCAGAATTAACGTTTTACTAAAAAATCATAATACCGCGAGTATGATTTTTTAGTAAAACGTTAATTCTGCGTTATTTTTTGGATTTTTCTTATGGTATACATTGTAAATGTGTACTAGAAGAATAATTTATGAAAAAAATACATAAATATATTTTTTGACCTGTGGGGTATATTGGGGGGGGGGGGTCCTGTCCACAAGTACCTGTGATTCAGAGGTACCAGTATTCTCATCCGTAAACCTAATGACTTTTGCCCCTTGTTTAATGTTATGTTTGAATTTCCTAAGCTTACTTCTACTTCTTTAGCCTCACCCTGAACATATGTCAGACTTATATCGTTCAGTTGCAAAATATGTTCTTAAGGTATATCTCTCACAGCAACCAATTCGCCAATTCTAGCAAAGGTTGAAAAGGCAAAAAAGGAACATTGCTTTAAACAGGCACTGTTCATAACGAATTCGAAATGACTGGCAATGCCAGCAACATTTTATTCAATATGGGTACTGTATTGGGAAACCCTGTGTTAATTGTTTGTGAAAGTCTGTAAGTACCTGTTATAAGTTCAACAAGTTCGAGTATTGTCTAGTAAAGACAAAATTTTGTGTACATGACCCAAAGCTGATAAATAAGTTGAAATAGTAGATGGTGAAAATGACTTCTTAAACAAATATGCAACAAACAATGATATGGTTGAAACCCATAAAGGAAGACTACTAACTTGTCCCAATACTAAAGTTTCATTATCTGTAAAAAACAAGATGGAATGATTTTTCCACAAGTGACCCCACATATATATGTATTGCCAGAATAATCGGATTAAACTCCAGAGTCATAATATTTAATTTTTACGCTTCTCTAAAGGAAAAGCACCATAAAACCACCTTTCTTTGTATATGCCTGCATACCCCAAAGACTGAGCCGCATCAGTATAGAGTTCTAGGTTGTAGCTTGACAGGAATGTTTCATTCAAGAATATACACTTTCCATTAAAATTGGATAAAAAATGAAGCCACATTTTCATATCTTCCTTAGCCTCTTTCTTCAGCAAAATATGTGTCTCAGAATTAGAGACATGCATCATCATATTGAACATGCGCCGTAAAAATTTGCAACAGAGACCCCTATATCCTCACATAAGCTGATAAATGCTTTAAACTTAGATATCGCCATATTTTTTGAACTCTCTAATATCAAAAAGTCATCTAATATATGCGCCATCCCAAAAATACCCAACTTATTCCTAGCTATCCATTCTAAAGCCGTACTAAATTCTTCAAATATTTTGCAACTAAGAAATCAGGATTGCCTCATTAATACCCACATATTGAACTGCAGCAGATTCATCTGAAATCCCTGCATTGATTGAATTAAGTTCTGGTTTTTTTTTTTTTTTTTTTTTTTTTTTTTTTTTTAAATCAGGGTATGATAAATGGTGTATCCAACGCCAAAAGGTCCTTCTGATTTCTTAGGGACAAGATCCAGGGGAGAAATTCGAACGTTATGGAAGGGTTTTGTTTTAAAGGTCCCTCAACCCTGTTACATTCTAATTCTTTTTTTAATTTTATCTTCAATTACTTTTGGATTTTCTAAGGCAGATTTTAGATTTGCATCTGACATATCGATGAACTCTCTACTTCTAATTTTCTCTTGCAATTTTGTATTTATTTTTAAATACAAAGGCCTACCTAATTGTACTAGATCTTATCATCGAAAGTAGAGACAATATCTTGAGCTGGAATATGAATAGTGTTCG